GGCTGAGGGCTGAGGACATGGGAGGGGCCTAGGCTGGCGACGCCCAGCACAGCCCAGCTGGGTGGCAGGGGCCCAGGGTTGTGAGCAGAGAGCGATGGCCAGGAGCTGTGGGAGGAGGTGTCTGATGGAGCCTGTTGGGATTCAGGGTCCCCTCTTTGGAGCTGGTCAGTTGGCGTGAGTCTTCCAGCCCAACCAGAGGAAAGGTTCCTTTTTTAAACCTCACCCGAGGATATGTTTATTGATTTTAGAGAGAGAGGAGCAGAAGGAGAGAGAGAGACATTGATCAGCCACCTCCCATATGTGCAACCCAGGCACGTGGCCTGACCAGGCCCCACACCACAACCTCTAGGTGTAGAAGACAAGGCTGCAACCTGCTGAGCCACCCAGTCAGGGCAAAAGATGAGATTTTTATGAGTTAGCAATGGTTCCATTTTGTCTGGCTTCAAACAGAGCTTAAGGAAACCACCCTCCTCCCTGGGGCGATGTAACGGGCAGATGGCTATCTCCGGCGTCAGAGCCATTTAGCAGGAGCGGGGGCCCTGGCCAAACCCACTGCGCCTGAAACCTCAGGGTTTCTCTGAGAAATCACATTCCCAGCCCGTGCATATCTGCGTGCTGGTCCCAGGTCTGGGGGCCGACAGAGATTAGGGACGTGGGAAATCCCCAGACTGGCCTCCCTACAGGCTGCAGGTCAGCGCGGGCACAGCTGAGGGTTCGGTCAGCGTCTGGACCCAGACCCAGGCCACAGAGCTGCTGAGATGTAGGCCCAGGGCCTCACTTGGCTGAGCAGGGCTGGCCTTGCCGCCTCTGTCTTCCTGTCACGGAACACAAAGGAGGGCAGAAAGTGTCCCTGTCTCAATGGCCTGTGCCCATCAAACCAGGTGGTCCTGTGTCTCTTCTAAGCCCCGGTTCTTGTTCGATTTGACATCAGTTAAGGAGAATGCCAGGAAATGGTACGGAGGGACCTTATTTCTCCTTGCCTGTTCATTCCTTCCCTCCCTCCCTCCCTCCCTCCTTTTCCTGAACTAACGCCATCGTGTCCTGCCCCATGCTGGGGACACAAGCTGCAGGACGTGCAGGCTGCACGCTTCAGGGGGCTATCTTCTGTGATGACGGGGGCGGGGGGGAGGGGGAAACAGCCGTGGTGGAAAGGGGAAATGGGAGAGGGCAAGACAAGGTGGGGGGAGGGTTGCTCTCAAGCAGGAGGAAGGGGTCTCCCATTGCTAGAGGGTGGTTTCTGGCTTGGCTACGTGGGTACCAGAGACGCACGCATTCGGCCGACCTAGGAGCCCTGCAGGCGAGCAGGTGGGCAGGCTGCCCGTGCGTTTGGGTTTGGACACACTGCGTCCAGATGGAACATCCCAGAGGTGGCTGAACACTCAAAGGGTGGACCAGTGGTCGGTTTGTGAGGTAGTCACACAGAAGCCTTCAAAATCTGGTTCTGACTGGCCCTGGGGCCTCAGGAGCAGCAGCCTCACTCTGTTTCCCCACGTGGGCCCACCAGGCGGCAGTCCTGTCCAGCCTGCCAGCCTGCAGCCCCACAGACCTCTGGCGCCCGGCAGCGCCCTGGCCTCTGCCCCGCTCCAGCCTACTCGCCACTTTCCCCCAAGGCCCTGGGGGCTGGGCAGCACCCCCTGCCTGGGCAGCTGTCCACACGGCTACCTCCCCTCCTCACTGGCCCTCTGCCCAACCCTGCCACCCAGGAGAACCACCCAGAGAGGTCCTTGGTTCAGCCACCTCTATGAAGGCAAATGTCTTCATCTGGCTTGAGTTACTCAGATGGAAAATTCTGCATTCGTTCCCGGTAATGACCACCGGGAAACCACGGCACTGCTTTAGCTTTCCGGGCCAGGAAAGGCCTGGCTGACTCTCCCACCCATGGATCCCTTCCTGCCATGTCCCACCTCAGCCCAGGGCTAGTGGCCTTGCTGGTCTGAGCGTGGACTTCACGGCCCGGGAGAGCCCAGAGGACAGGGACTGGCTGGCTGCGCCTCTTCCCTCCTGGAGCCACAGGAGCACGTGCCTCGTGTACCATTGGGCTTCCTGGTCCCCCACACTCGCTCACCCTGAGAACAGATGTGTCCAGAGAGGAGAGAAGTCCTAACGCAGGGCCAGCCTCACAGGGTCCACCCAGGGGCTGGGAGGAGAACAGGACATGCGTTTTGGCCCTGAGGGGCCTGAAGTTTTAGAGGCACACCCAAGTGGAGATGTCAGGTTGACAGCTGGCCACTCGGGTGCTGCAGGCCCCAGCCGATACACTGGACCAGGGTGAGGAGCTGCTTCACTCTCTGTTATGGGAGCCCAGATCTTGGCCTTACAAGGCAAGGTGGCCCTGGGTGGTTCCAGCATGGAACTTGAGGCCTGGGTCTGGTGTCAGGGAAAAGCAAAGGCTAAGTACTCGCATGAATGTCTGCTCCCAGAACTCAGGGTCGCATCACTTCTAAGGTCTGACGAGGGCGCCGGGGCTGGCCACACGGAAGGTCATCCCTTCGGCAAATGGGGTGGGGAAACAATGACCACAGACGAGTAGCATGAAGGGGCCCTTACCTTCCACCACAAATGAAAACTAACTCCATCATTTAAAAGGCAACAGAAACAAAACTGGAAAAATCGGGCTACATCAAACTTTAAAACTGCACAGCAAAGGAAGCAACAGTATGAAAAGAGTGAGAGAAAATGTTTGCAAGCTGCATAGCTGATAAGGGCTAATGCCCAGAATATGTAAAGAGTTCCTCCAACTCAACAACAACAGCAAAGACAAAGAATCCAAGTTAAAAATAGGCAAACGACTTGAACAGACACTTATCCAAAGAAGACATACGAATGACCATCAGGTATATAAAAAGATGGTCAATATCACTACTTATTAAGGAAATGCAAAATAAAACCACAGTGAGACATCACCTCACACCCCTTAGGGTGGCCACTGTCAAAAATAAAGTAAAATAAAATAACAAATGTTGGCAAGAATGTGAAGACACTGAAGCCCTCGTGTACTGATGGTGGGGATGTAAAATGATGCAACCACTATAGAAAACAGTGTATAGGTGCCTCAAAAAATTATAATAGAATGACCACACGATCCAACAGCCCCACTTGTGGTCAGGGACACCTGCACCCCCGTGTCATAGCATTATTCAAATAGCCAAGGGGTGGGGGCAACTCAGTCTCCATCACCAGACGGGAGGAATGCATGCAAAGTCTGTGGCATACTGCATATGTACAGTGGAATATCGTTCAGCCTTAAAAAGAAGGAAACTATCACTTCAACAACATGGATGAACTTTGAGGACATTTTACTAAGTGAAATAAGCCAATCACAAAAGGACAAACACTGCAAGATTCCACTAATCTATCTAAAACAAGCAAAGTCTTAGAAGCAGAAAGTAGGATGGTGGTTTCTAGAAGGCTGGGGAGCAGGAGGGGGGCATTGCTTCCAATTTTGCAAGATAAAAAAGTTCTAGAGACCTATTTGCTCAACACTGGACATACATTAACACTAAAGTACCATATCCTTAAAAATGGTTAAATATGGTAAATTTTACGTCACGTGTTCTTGGCCACAATATTTTTTTTTAATTGCAAACTCAGGAGTGCGAGTAGCAGCATCTTGATGTTTGGGTTTTGTCTAACTGCTCTGATCTCAAGCCCCCGAGGCTGGCCGGAAATGCACTTGCGCCTCACGCCGGCCTGCAACGCTCTCTTTCTCTCAAATGCCCCTTCCTCCCAATCCGGGCCTCCCCCAGAACAAAGGTCAAAGCAAAACAGAGGCTGCTTTTGCCTTTCTGCCCTGCCCCAATCCCTAGGCCAGGGGCGCAGTGAACACCGCTTAAAAACGGGTGGCCTGACTCACATCCTGACTATGAGGAGTCTGTCTCTCCTTGGTGGTTGTTCTGGGAATTTGGGAGGGGGTGACCTTTACAGGAAGGGGCAGTGCCTTGTGATACAGCCACCGGCTGTCCATCCACTGGTTCTGGTTCGTGCCCCACCCACCACTGCGCCTGAGGTGGGGAGGCTGGAGAGACAGGTGTAAAGTGCTGTCTCAGCTGCAATCTAATCCACGCATCTTCTCTCCTGCACACCTCTCCCTGGCACCTGAGAAAGGAAAGGAAGGCTAGGACTCAGAGAGAGTGAAACTGGAGGCAGGCCAAGTGAAAACGCAAGGCCACGTGGCTCAGGGATGTTTGCAGCAAGCTCCGGGAGAGACCCTGCACCCCCACAGACGGGCCGTGCTGGGCCTGGCCCTCTGACTGAGGCAGCAGCCTGGTCGGCGTTCCTCTGCCTGGAACCCTCTCCCAGCACCTACGTGGATAGAGGGAGAGAAGGCAGAGGCAGGGTGGTCCCACAGTCAATTCAGAAAGGCTCAAACCGTGTGGACGGAGAGCTGGATGCTGGAAAGAATCTGTGTGGTGTACATGTTATCTGCAATAAATCCCGGGAAATGTCTACACGTCTGCCCAAACTGGGGACAGGGTGCAGGTGGGGGGAGGCTGGGAGGGGCAGAAGGTTCTAGAAAGCGAGGGAAGGGCAGTAGGAAGTGCCTGTTATGACCGAGGTCAAGCATCTGAAAGGCCACGCCGGTGCCTCTCTGTGCCATGCTGTCCCCATTGCTCCACTGCAGTGGAGGTTAACGAGCTGCCCCCACCCTCAGCCTTAGATTTCTCATCACTCAGAAGTTTCTCAGCTACAAACTCTCCTCTCTCAAGAACTTCCAGATAGTAATTGTTTTTATTGGGAAGGGACTGTGAATGGATAAAAAAACAGATAAATAAACAACTGAATGAGCAAGCAAGTGGGCAGAATGCAGCCAGCCCGGGAAGGCGGAGCAGGAGGCAGTTTCTCCCCAAACGTCACTCCTCTCCCCCAGCAGGAGGGTGGTGGGCAGGCTGCCGCCCACCCGGATGCAGTGGAGGGTGGTGTGGGCAGCCGCTGACGCACTCACTGTGCCCGAGCCCCCTGGCTTCCCTTCTCAACGAGTCTATCCTTGTCTCCCTGTCTAGGGCCCCCCGGACGGCGTGGCAAGCCTGGAAGAAGAGGCGATCCCGGTGAGTCCCAGGTTTTCCTGGTTCACAGACCTAGGTGTAGAAGTCCGCCCTGGTCCAGGGATGCGGTGGGGTGCACCAGTCCCAGAGGCCACAGTGCCCGGTGCCCCCTTTTTCTCGGCTTCCTGACATCACAGGTCCAGCGACTGTCCCGTTTGTGTCCTTGACACCCGCTGAATCTCATTACAGCTGCAGCAGTGCCAGTCCCTAGCCTCTCGCCCTGAAACAGCCTCCTCCCCTCTCTGCGGGAATGGACAGGGACTCCACCTGCCCAAGGTGCCTGGTTCTCCTGGGCACTCCCATCCCTCCCCAGACCGGTCTGCTCCTTCCCTGGGCAGAGGCAGGAGGAGGCTCCTTCACCTCCCTTCCGTACAACCTGGGGACGGGCCCACATGCTCGGCCACCTTCCCTCCTGCCATCCTCACCTCACCTGAGTGCGCCTGCTGCACACACCCACTGCTGCTGCGCACAGCGAAGCTTCCTCAGAGGTGCCCACACCCAGCCCTCTCCCAGCTCTCCCGCCTCACCTTCCACTCACCCCCACCCTCCAGTCTCTTTTCACGGTCACTCCATCAACATCATCTTGGCCAAAGTACCACTGACCACCTGACAGTCCAGCCAGCAGAGGCTTTGCCGTCGCCATCTTCCTGGACCCTCCTTGTGGGCCGCCCCGCCCCGCCCCCACCCTGTATTTCCCAGCTCCACTCCGGCCTGGGTTTCCTCCCACGTCTCTGACCTCCTTCTTTTTTGCCTTTCCTACAGGACCCCACTTGCCTCTTAAACGATTCTGCCCTTGGCCCTCTTCTCACTTCTCTCTCACCCCTGAGCGCCACACTCCCCCAGGACACTGATGATGCCCCCCTCCCTGGATCAAGCCAAATTGTCTCCTCTGGGTCCAGAGTTTGGACATGGCCCCCCTGAGCTAGCACCCCCCAGCCTGCTCTCCCCAGCTCCCCATGGCAGAGAGGAGACCGCCAGCCACCCTCCCCCAGGCAGACACCCTGGCATCACCCTGGATCCCTCCCTCTCACTCCCACGGTGCATCCTGGGCAGTGTCCTCCTCAGCACAGCAGGCCCGTGCCCCCTTCCTAGTCCTCAGCTCCACAGCTCCCTCAGCCTCACTGTGGGTGTCTGGGGCCCTCCCCTCTGCGCCTGCACTCCTGTCCTCCCCTGCCACCATGTCATCTCCTCTACCTGAACTTGTGACCCAAGTTCAGTATTCTTTGTCCTGACAGTCTAGCTCAAGCATCTCCTCCAAAAAGTCCTCTCTAAAGCCTCGGGCCAGGCCAAGTCTCCAGCTCCCAGCACAGAGCAGGCCCCAGGAGAGTGAGTGCACAAGCAGTGACTGAGTGAATGCCCACGCTCTCAGCCCCCACGCAGCCTCACAAGGAAGGTGTGGTGGTGATGCCCAAGGTGCCCCCGACCCCTGACTGGGCCAGGTGAGCTGAGCAGGCTCTCTCCGATCCTCAGACTCTCCTCCCTGGTGCTGGGTGTGGGCTTCCTGCCTCTCGCTGTGCTGTGTGCTTGCATTACCTCACTCCCCCTGTGGAAGACCCCAGAGAAACTCCCCACAGTGCCCCACTGGGAAATGCTATCAGGGCCCTCTGTGTGCTCCAACGTCCAGAAGCTGAAGGCTGTTTCATGTCAGAGTGCTGTGGCTTCCTCCACTCTAGGTTCTGCGTGTAATCACCCCACACACATAACACAACACACACCCAGGCCCGCTCCGTCCGCACTTCATCAGTTCTCATTTTGGGCCTCGTAAAACGCTTATTGCCTTCACTGTAAGCTCCTGACTTCCATTCTGGAAGGAAATGAGGAATGTACAGTGATTTTTTTTAGGACAAAGTATAATATTACTCAAGTTCCTCAACAACCTACTAGAATTAGGACTCCAGTTTACGGCAATGCAGAAGCCAAAGAAAGACAAGGATTCGCTGGGCCCCCTGACCCTGTGTGCTGCATCCTTTCAAGTTCTTCATCTCATGTAACTCCACAGAACCCCGAGAGACAGGCGGCATGTTATTACCCCGATAGCAGATAAGGAAACCGAGGTCCAAGGGAAGAACGGTATGAACGGCCCGGAGCAGACGTTCCACTCCGATCAGTTCTGGCTGGGCCTGGTGTTTATTTTCAGATAGTTTTGCACACACGTGTGCCCTGACTTTGGCGACTTCCCTTGGTAAACCAGGCCTCTTCCTGCGTCCCCGGGAGAAAGCCTCTCTTTGCCTGTGGGAACAGGGTCTGGTGGAGACACCTTCCTGCTGCCCCCTGGCCCTGCACTCCCCTGCGCAGGCCGGCCTGGGGGGTATGGGGGTGGTTCTCTGTGGCTCCAGAGGGAGCCTTTGCTCAGCAAATGCCTCCACAGTGTCTGCAGTGTTTGTGTGTCTCGTTCAGAATGGAATGGACGTCTTGCCTCCCCACAGGCCAGTTTCTCAGCTGTGGAAGGCTGGCCCTGCTCTTGGACTTCCAGGGTCCTCTTTCTAGGGACCTTGAGCAAGATTCTTTCTCTTTCTAGAACCCTCCATTTCCCCAAGAACACCCATGGCTCTCCCTTGGCTCCACCCTGGCTCCGAGCTGGCTCCCCCAACCCCAGACGCCTCCCTCTGTCCAGCACTTCCCATGCCAGCCCGTGGTGGTCTTCTCTGCAAGTGTGTCTTTCTCCCTGACCAAAGCACAGGCTCTTGGGCAGGAGCTGGGTCCGGATCCACAGTTCCTCAGGAGATGGTCAACAAATGCTTGTTGACAGGAAGGGGGGATGGCAGAGAGGAGGGAGAGAGAAGGAAGGCCTGGTGGGCAGATGGAGGGCAAAGGCTAAGAATGGGGAAGAAATGAAGATGAGGCAAACAAAGGCTGCTTAGCAGATGCCTGTGCTGGATCTGCAGGGACACCCGGAGGCACCAGCGGACCTCACAGCCCCCACGTCCCAGTGTTGGGGTTCGTTTGCTTGTCTGTCCATCTGCCCTGACCCCAGGAAACCCTTCCTGAAGTTCAGAGGGAGAAGCGCTTCCGGAACGGTGGGTTAAGGACTCTGACGATCCACTCCCTCAGAAAAGCAGCAGGAACACTAGGAAAAATGGACCTTGTCAGAACTATGGAAATTAATGAAGAACTTGCCACAACCCCTGAATTCAAGAAAAAAATTGTAAGTCTTGCTAAGAACATCAGTGTATATGACATTTTATCTTGCCCATCTTCTCAGTCCCCTGGAACCCTAAAACCTGTCAGCCTTGCAACTACAGTACCTGTGAAAAGCAGCAGCCGCTGAAGGAGGCAAACAGCAGGCTGAAGCTCCCCAATGCTCATTTTCAGAGAACGGTCCCTATTTGACCTGCCTGTAAGCTCCACGAGAAAGCTTGTACACAGGACTTGTCTGTGTTTGGCCTGACATAGAGCTTGCTCATTGGAGAGCACTGTCTCCAGAGTGCTTGCCAAAGACACTCAGTGGCAATTGTTTAAAATCACAGCTGCCTGAAGTGGCAGCAGCAGTGGGAGCAGACAAGAAGCTGGCACAAAAACTTCAACAAATACCTAGGTGGTGAGATGTCTAAAGGGGCTTTGCAAAGCCCCTTTCCAGCATATTCCTGGGGATCTAGATGACACACACAGAGGAAGGGCTGTGCACATGTTCAGGAAAGACTTGGGGGAGCCTGTCTCTCACCTCTGGCTAACCTGGAGGCTCTGCTCAAGCAGGCAATGCAGGCAAAGCAGAGTGGGGAAGAGAGCACTGAGCTGTGCTCCAGCACACACAAAGAGCCCCTTGGCACAGAGTGGGGGGCCTATGGGATCAAGACATTAAAGGAAACCCCTGTCTCTGCTGATCATTAAGTGAACCAAGCAGAGAAATCAGTAGCTGAACATGAGAAAGAATGCACACTTCAGAAACTTAGTTCAGGAAAACCCTTTACCATGAGCAACAATGACGACACACAGCAACAACAAAAAGTCCTGAAAAGTAGGAGCAGGGTCTAATTTCCACAGTAGACACATTAAATTACTATCCATGCCCAGTTTTTAACAACAAAAAAGATATGAGATACAGAAAGATACAAGAAGGCATGGCAATAAAAAAGGGGGGAAAGCAATGAATAGAAACTGTCTCTGAGGAAGCCCAGCTGGAAAAATTAGACAAAGATTGTATATTTGCTATTTTAAACATATTTTAAAACTAAAGGGAATGTCTAAAGAATTAAAGGAAATGCCAAGAAGTATGTACTACAAAATGGAGACAATCAATAGAGAGAGAGAAAGTATAAAAACAGAAACGGACAGCAACTCTGAAGTACAATAACCAAATGAAGAATTCACAAGAAGGGCTCAACAACATTCGGCAGAAGAAAGAATCAGCAAACTTGAAGCCAGGTCAGTGAAGGTCATGCGGCCTGAGGAAGGAAGACAGGAGAGGGAGGGGAGCAAACAGAGCCTGAGACCTGAGGGACGCACTGAAGTGCGCCAGCAGACGCACACCATGCAGAGAAGAGAGAGAGAGAAGCAGAAGAAATGTATGAAAGAATAATGGCCAAAACCGGCCCAAACTTATTTTTTATGCTTATGGTTATGATTTACTATAGCAAAAAGCTACAGATGAAAGTCAGGAAAGGTAAGAGGAACACAGAGCCTAAGCTCCCAGCTTCCTCTCCCAGGGGAGCTGCACTGAGAGCCCGCTTCTCCCGGCGACGGTGCATGGCAGTGTGTGTGATGTTTCACCGACCAGGGAAGCTCACTTGAGCCTTACTGTCCTAGGTTTTTATTGATATTTTATTGAGTAACTGGCCTTATCTATTCAGTCCCCAGCCCCTCCAAAGCTCAAACTGATACAACATGACCCAAAACCCCCATGACAATTCGCACTGTTGGCATAAACTGTCTGGCATGCTGGAGGGCCCCCAGGTATTCAAAGGCTTTCCTGTTAGGCAGCATGTTTCCAGGACGTAAAGGTTATCTCCCTGCCACTGGTCAGGGCCAGTCCTTTCTTTGGAATGTGCAGGGTTGGGACAACCCAA